TCTGACTGAGTTCTGAAATTTACAAAAGTCATTACTTTTATTTGACTATATATAAATATTATTTTTAAATTCTAAGTCAATCAAATTTAGTGATGGAGTATAACATGAATTATTAGCATAATTTAAATAAATAATTTTAAAATAATACAAATTTACTAACAAATGAAGTAAAACTATAAATTATTATAAGTATGCTAAAAAAAATTCCAAATTTTAACCATGAATACAATTTTTTGAATTTTCTAAAAAAAATTATGAATATAATCTCCTAAAAGGAAAAAAAAAAATACCAAGAAAAAAATAAAAATAATGTAAAAAAATGAGGTAGAATAGGACAAATTTCTCTTCATGTATGTATGTATGTATGTATATATGTATGTATGTATACGTGTATAAATAAATATATTGTTTCAAAGGTGTCCAAGGTCCATATAGTGTGTTTTAGTGCGCGCATTAATGTGCCAGCTCAAACATAGCAAATGTCTTATTTGACACATTCATCCCTCTTGCCACGTGTCCAGATCTCGGTGCTCGAAAAGCCAGCTTGGTTTACACGTTTCTCGAACCCTTTGACTCACCACCATCTTTTCCTTTTCCTTTTTTACATTTTTCTAAATAAAAAATTTAAAGATATAATTATTTTATGAAAATAACGAAATATCAAAATTTTATTATTTAGTATAATTTATATCACATTTAAATTAAATTATAAATATTTTATTACAATTATATTTTTTTGAATTTAAATACTCATAACAGATTAAATTTTAATTTAATTTTTTAATAAATTTTTTTATTATTATATTATGTATTTTTTAAAAATATTTACTAATCAAATTAACTTCATAATTAATTTAATTTTAAATGATTATCTTAATAATTGAGTCGATCTTTGTCCAAAAAATTTAAAGATTATAAAACCCATTACACCTTATAATAAATTAAAATATTATAAATTATTTTCTCATAAAAAAAATAATTTTCAAACAAAAATACAATAGAAAGTATGATCACATTTCGAATTTATAATTTTTTTAAAAGAATTTAATTAAATATTGGGTATTTTATTTTCTAAAAAAAAAAACCAAAAATAAGAAGTTGCTTGTAAAAGTGAAAAATACAAGTTAATGATTGCAATTTAACTTTTTAAAACTTGAAATCAAATCCTTACAAGTTGGGTAAGAAGATAATCATTTCATGATTTTTTTAAACTTAAAAAAAAAGAAAAAAAAAAAAAAACTCTTTAATTAAAAAATTCATTTTTATTTATATTTTTTTTTTGGCTGCTTGCTACCTAGGATGAAAACAACAATACCGTCACCAAACGGCAAGGTGTCGTTATAACGCCGTTAATCGACCAAAAAAGTAGAGTTGACGGAGTTAATTAAAAAACAATAGATATGTGTCGAAAACGTGTCCAACTCCTACACACGTGGGCCCCACCGCATCGTTCGAATTCTGACACGTCGTGTGCTGCTCACATGCGCTGGCAACTTTCTTTAGTGTTATTTATTATTAACCTTTCCACTAATTATTTATTTATTATTAAAAAAGTTATATATATATATATATATATATTTATTTTCAAAAATTAAAATATTTTTTTTTAGTTTCCTAATTTGTCTCCTTATATCCAAATTCTCTTTGCCTTGTACTTTCCTCTTTCACCCAAATAAACTAAATGGGTAATTTATTTATTTTAATTATAATACAGTTAAATTTATTTTAAAAATTCGAAAATAAAAATTAAAAGGGTTTATTTTTATTTTTATTTTTTTTTTATTTATTATTTTGTTTGGTGAGGTATGAAGACAAGAACAAAGGAAATGGTTGAAAATTGACTTATTTGATCTTTGTTGAAAACAACTCTTCAACCAAGTTTTTATGACTTTTATGTTAATAAATAATAATTATAATATAATCTTCATAATTTTAAAATTAATATATATATACATGTGTATATATATCTCCATAAGTATTGCAACAAGATCATGACATATACCTGCTGCTGCTTCTATGACTTGGTCATCCAGAAATTAGACTTCAAGTAGACTTATCTTTTTTTCCTTGCTTTTTTAATATATCTACACACACACATATATATATATATGTATGTATGTATTCAAGTGTATAAGGAGATATCAGTTATATGGGTAACTAATTTTTTAAACTAAAAATAACTAGACCATATTACATATATATATATATATATGTATATATAGGAAAATTTATAGGGACAAGGGTACTTAAGTTAATAATTATTTACATTGCATCCAAAGTAATTATTACATTGTATTAAACCACAAATTATGAGAAAGTGATACTATAAATATTTATTTATTCATTTATTTTTAAAAACTGAGACTGAATTTTAGTTTATATTAAAAATTATATTATACATATTTTGTTAAAAAATAATAGTATGCAAGTAAAAAATTAATTAATAAATGTAAAATAATTATAATATTTTCTTTTTAAAAATAATAATAATATTATAATTTGTGATTTAATTCATTATTATAACAGTATAATTATATATATAAGTAAACAAAAATTACGTAATATTTAATTTTTTTAACTGAGATAATTATGAAAAATTAAAAAATTAGATGTAATTTATATAAAAAATAATCAGGGGTAATTTTGACTTTTTATAAATCTAATACAATATTTCTTTAATTTTATTTTATTTTTCTTCTCATCGAATTATAGAAAAATAAATAAAATAAAAAAACCACAAATTCTCCAAATTTTTATTTAAAAAAATATCACAAAATTCTTATTATTCTTCTTATTAAATTATTATTTGATATATATATGTGTGTGTGTGTATATATATATATGTATATATATATATATATATTTGTTTTTTTTCTTCTTCTCCATCAAAATAAATGACACTCTCTCTTAAGGTTGCAGAGAGAAAAATATGAACCTATCTCCATGAACTTCGATTCTCGAAACGGAGAGGTGTAAGGGTTTTGAATTCTCTGCTTCTCATCCCCACAGTAAGCTTCTCTGCATTTATCTTCTCTATCGTCGTCCTCATCAGAATCGGTCTCTTTTTTCATGGGTTTTCTTTTTTGTTGGTTGGAATTTCGTTTCAGAATTTTTGCTTAGCTTGAAGGCAACACCTTCTCCTTGTCGATTCTGATGACTTTTTTTCTCATGTAAGGTAGCGGATTCTGTTTGGATGATGAGAAATTTAAGCAGAAATGGAATTCTGAGTTTTTAAATGAAAAAGATGTTTTTTTTTTCTTTTTTGAACTTTTATTTTTTCACTTTGTACTATGTATGTTGTAAGAAATGGAGGATGGGCTGGAAGTATAATCGTCCTGATGGGATATTACTCCGGAGTGAATTAATTTTATCTGTATCAGTTGGATTTTGCTATAAACTTGTATGGGATCTTGAATTATGAGTTTGCTTTTTATTTTATCAGGTTTTGATATATTCTACTAGGTCCAATACCATCCTAAATGGAGCTTTTTAGTTCAGTTTCTTTGCTAAGGATTACTTTTTCTTCCCCTTTTTTATGGATTATACAGTTAGTTTTCCATTCAAAATTATTTGTTTGATTGGTTTTTTCCTCTTCTGAAGACTAATTTATCGTTTAATTACCGTGCATGCGGTTTTCCTTTTCTGGGGCTTACTTTACCAAGCTTTCTATTTAAATGATTGAAGGGAAGGCTTCAAATTTTAACTGTAGTCTAATGGTTAGTGAGGGATTTGTCACTGTTGGGATATTCTTCTTCCTTTTCTGTGTTCTTGTATTCTGTGAAGATCCTGTGGTTTGTATATTAGCTTCATTCTTGTTTGTGTTTCATGTTTTTTCTTAACAAATTACCTTAGGTTCTTTTTTGTTTAATTAATTTCTGTATATCAAATTTAGTTTTTGACTTGTAATTATATCCTTCAGCCTTGGCAGGGTAATTGCTATTCTGATACCTTCTTTCGGATGCATAGACTTTAGATGTTTACTACTAGAGCTTTGGATTATGCCATTGATTGGATGGCCATTTGGATGTGTGTTTGTTGTTCATCTTAATTCTGTGGATCATGCTTTTTCTCCTTTTTGGGGTGAGCATGTTAAAATTAATGTTTTTTTTTTGGTAATTATGTGTTGGGGATTAAATTTTCATTATTTCATGGGAATAAAGCTGTAACAATGCCGGCGAAAAATGAAAATGGAGATCGGCGGCTAGACCATGGTGGTCAGGATATGTTGCACTCGTCTTTATATTCCCAGCCTTGGTGGCATGGAGTTGGGACAAATGCCTCCTTAGGTGAACCTGCTCCAAAAACGTCTTCAATGGAACACCTTAATGATTGTTATGCAAATGAAGCTACCCGTCCTCAACCCAATGGTTGCATGGCTGATGGAGGTATTTTCAATAACAAATGCAGATAGCTCTAGTTCATAGTTTGGATCCTAGACTTCAAACTAACATTTATTTCAGTGAAATTTATGGTGTATTTGCATAACGCAATTCTTATGGTGAAGTTTTGTCTGCGATATTTGATTCAAGTAATGCTTTTTCTAATTATTTTATTTTCTGGATACAAATGCCATTTCTATTAATTCTCTTGTTGGATTCTCCTCAATTTTTTTTTATATTGGACTCTTCTCATAGTTGAAACGTCTATGTTTTTGGAATTGTGAGCTTATGTTGCTGAAATAGGGTTTGCTTCCCATTTTGTTGAATTTCAGTAATCTCAATTATGCATTTTTCAGTATGCGAGGTCAATATTTGTAAAATTCTATTCCCAATTCAGCAGTGTTTTTATCCAATTATTTTATTTTGGAAAATTAAAGCTTACTTAACGATAAGAGAAAAACTTCAACTGTAGAAATGTATTTCCCCCCTTATAGGAGATGAAGATAGACAAGGAATATGCTTAGCTGTTTCTTTTTTTTTTTCCCCTTCATGCCCATTACATGGGATGGAGCTCATGGCTCGAATCTGTACCTTTTAAAAATGGATAAAAGTACTGACCACTGAGTTAAGGGGTGGTTTATAATATGAGTAGCTGATTTGATAGAGAGAGCAATTTTCCTACCAGACAAAATGATGTATGCTTCTTCTTGGGCTGCTTATCTTGTCTAGTCATTGTCTTTTTCTAAGGTCATACCCTGAATGGAATATTTTAGGTCTTTTTGGATATGATCAGCAGTTGCCCTATTGTATTTTTCTGATCAATTGTTAAGCACAATGAAACTGATCGTGGGAGATAAATGAAATAGCGTTTAACATTTCAGCTTTGAATGGTGATGGTGGATTGGTTTTGGAAATTAACACCTGGAGCTCCTTTTGCTTCTAAAATAGTAACAAAAATCCTCCTTTGTAACTTAGCCTGCCATTTACTACTAGCACAGAACATAAAGCATCGTGAGATCTGAATGGGTGACAAAAGGATTAATTGAAGTTTAAACAACTTCTTATGGTCATTATACTGCTGTCTGCTTGATGATTTGTCATTCAATTTCAATGATGGCAGCTTTTGTACAATATATATATTATTGGGAATTCTTTTGTACCTTATGTAGTTTACTCAGTCTTTGATTGTAGTGATTTATAGTCAAATTTTCCAGCTGCGAGCTCACTAGTCAGTTGTGCTAGATATTAGTAAGTTGATGTTTTAGGAATAGCTGTAGGAAGGAGTAGGGGTGTCGGATTTTGTGCAAGAGAAATATGCTGTGGAAGAAAGGAGTTGAAAATTTACTGAAATTTGCATGAAATGGATTGCAGGTTTCTGGTGAGAAGCTACAAATACGCTTCTAATGAAGAATTTTAGTACAGTAGGTTTAGCACGTGCAACGGTTTGCTCGAGAATGGTTTGGGGACTCTTTTAGAATTAAGCTATGTGGATTTAAGGGCTGATTTGAGACTTCTATCTCCAATTGCAAATTTCACTGAAAAAGCAGAGTTTTTATGAAAATGAAGCTGGATATTGCAACAGGGAAGAAAAAAAAGTAGGAGATAATAAGATAGAAATCCAAGCATTATTCCTCATCAAGGTTGAAATGCATAGTCATTAATTACTTACCATTATAGGAGTTGTGTCCTATTATTGGTTGTACTTATGTCAAGTTGTTTTAATTCTTTGATTAGACAATTTTTTTTTAGATAATACTTTTTTTAAAGATAATTTTGATTAGACAATGTTATAGTTTGATAAAGTCAAAACTGAGACGGAAGTCGGAAAAATCCCTAGTATTTATGTTTGTTGAACTATTATCTACTCTGATGGTTTCTAGCAAACAATTAAATCACATGAATGGTTTGCTAGCACGAATTGTTAGTAGTAGACTGTTAAAGTTGCATGAATTGTTTCGTGCTAAGATGGCTCGAGTGCTACTTAATATAAGCTGATAAATGTGTCAATCTCTTATTGGATGTCAAGTCAAAACTATGGACGACTCAATATAAATAACCTACATGTTTCCCAAAAGGAAATCTTTGTTTGTACAAACTACATATCCCTAACTTCATATTTCAAGAATGTGCAAGGCTTAATTTTTTTTATCATCCTAAAATGGGGAAGAGAAAATGGAAGAAGCAAAGACAGTTAGAACATTTTAAATTTGTTAGGAAGATTGCCGCTTACGTATCAGTAATTTATGGAAGAAGAGGAGCTATATGCATACATAAAAAAAAATTTAATTTTGAAATAAGTATAATTTAATGAACTTGAAGTCAATTGGCTTTTTCCCATACAGAGTATGCAAAATATCTCATATGCATTGGTAACAATATCGAGTGAAAATTTGGTGGAAAACCGTATCTTCCCTTCCCATCTGAAAGAAGGATGTGAGAGAATCTCTTAGGCGTTATAGGTTGCATGTGCATTTATATAGTATGACACTGAAGTACGTTTCTGTTTTTGGATCAGGTAGCAATAATGGACGTGAAGACCGACATCTCAAACATATTCCATCAACAACAGCCCTTCCTATGGGTGAACACCTGGAATCAAATTCCCAGATGGAATTAGTTGGTCATTCAATTGTAAGATCTCTGTCCCGCTTCCTCCCGATATGGACATGCATTACGACCACCATAAAACCCCCCCACCTCCAAACAAAATAACCATGTGGACATGCATTTATTAACACATTCAAGATTGATTTGCATACGTTGACATGTGTAAACTCACATATACAAATGCACACGTAGTACTGCATGCGTTATGAAAAAGATGTTTATCTCTAAAAGTTTGCGTTCCTTATTTATGCAAATACAGCTAGGATTCTGAATTCTTGAAAGTTACAGGTTTTGACATCATATCCATACTTGGATCCACAGTACGGTGGAATTTTGGCTTCTTATGGGCCACAAGCCATGGTACGTGTTTGTGCAGTCTCTTTTCCATTTTAATCATAAGAAAGACTGTTTTAGTTCGACAGTGATTAGAATAAGATGATGTGTTGATAGAATCATTATTTGTGTGCACATAGTGATTGTCAGGCTAAGACTGTCTTCTTTATGCTATGGCTGCTGCTGATAAATAGAAGGTTTTTAACCAAAAGCCTCACAAGATTTGATAATCATTCTGTCTTTGCATTATTTTAAAGCAAAATCTTCACCATTCTATAAATAAATTTAAATCGGTAAAGTATTGGCATCTTTTTCTTTTCTTTTCCGAATCATCAATAGTAGAAGGTTTAGATTCTTCTTATATATTGAATGTTTGTATGGGCTTTCCAATTAGAAAGCAAAAGCATTTTCTTAACTTTTTTCCTTCTGAAGCATTTTTGAATGTATATCCAAAAATATTCACAAAATAAATGAGGAAAATTTTGATTCATTTGGTGTGCTGATACAGTGTTTAATGACATCAATTGGTTCTGGCAATGTACCACAGATTTCTAAGACTTCCTATTTAAATGTTTTGCACTTATTTTTCCATCCACTCTTTCTACATCTTCAGGTGCCACCTCCTTTGTATGGAATGCATCATGCTAGAATGCCTTTGCCTCTTGAAATGGAAGAGGAGCCTGTTTATGTCAATGCGAAGCAGTATCATGGTATTCTTCGAAGAAGACAGTCGCGTGCTAAGGCTGAGCTTGAAAAGAAAGTGATAAAAGTTAGAAAGGTTCATGTTGCTATCAGTAAATTTTTGTTAATCCACTGGAATCAATTATTTGTTTTTCATGGTAGCCTAGAAAGGTGTATGTCTCAACTTTCCTTCTTGTTTCCATAGCCATATCTTCATGAGTCTCGTCACCTGCATGCTATGAGAAGGGCAAGGGGTTGTGGTGGTCGTTTTCTTAATACAAAGAAGCTTGACGGTGATGCTGAGAATGGAGCATCAGAGAAATGCATGAATTCAGTTGGAAACCTTTCGACAAAACATGGCTCTGAATGCTTACCTGCCAATGGAACTGGAAATCTGGTTTCCTCCAGTAATCAAAAAGGAAATGGCGCAATGGTTAATGACTTGCATAAACTAAACCACTCTTCCAGTGTTAACAGCAATAGCCATGGCCTATCATCAGCATATCATGCTGGAGGGAGGGACTTCCTAGATCGGGAAAGGGGTAGTACGTTCAGCAATGGGGCTCCACAAGGAGCTCCTCCCCATTAACTGGAAGTGCTTCTTTAAGTGGAGGGCCCCTTCAGCACTGCCTTGCTGGTTTGGTTTCTCATCACTCTCCAATATATCCAATTTACAATTACTAGTTTGCCGGCTGAGTTCATGTCTAATCAATGAGTGACTTGTTTGGTGCAGGCAATGCTAAGGGCATTTTCCCTCCTGTTTAAGGGTGCAACGACCCTCTGACTGGTGTGATCCCAGGCAATTCATTCTTGGCTTTGGTATACTAGTGTTGGGGTAGGATGAGGAAAAGAAAATCTAGCAAACTTGTGTCCTATCATTCCTTTGTTACTTCCTTGTCTTTCCCCACTCACTCTCTGTCTGTAAAAATTTGCTGAAAAAGTGAAATGTATGTGGTGGGTAGGATATTTAGCTGTGAATGTGGATTAAACATCTATATTTGAACGTTTGAAGAAGTTCGACTCCCTTTGATCGAGGGTCTGATATAACACCTCTATAGGTGTCCCTGTTAACAATGTCAGGACTCTTTTGCTGTTTCTTCTCCTTTTGTGTGAGCTCTTTTGCTCCTACAATTTCCCTTTAACTCATCTGGTGGCTGCTGTACTTGTTTTTGCATGTTAAGAGTCCAGTGTATATAATTCTGTTTGCCATTTTAACATTTCTTCTGGGTTTTCTCTTTGAGGGGAGATTTTCTGTTAAAATTCTGATTTTGTAAATTGAGAGATTTTTTCTTCTGTCAAATCCCTCTTTTGCAGGAGAGAGGGAGGAGTTTGTTTTTATTTTTGTTTTTAGAGTTATGAAATTGTTTAATGAAAAGAAGAAAAAAAGAAATACCAAAAATCTGGGCCGAGATTTCAACCAAACCCGGACCGGCCCAGTAGCTCCATTTCTTCGTCCTACTGAACCAAACCCGGACCGGTTTCCCAATTCCCTTCCTCATGCCTCAAAACGACGCCGTTTTGCGATGCAAGTCTTCCTTCAATTCTAGAAGACGACAAAAGTGAGAGTTTAGGGTTCGTGGTTTCTTTTTCCTCTGGTTTCCGAAAGGGGCGAAGGCAGATGTTAGGTGCGATGGTAATGGTGGTTTGAGTGAAGCAAAAAGGAAGAACTCGAAAACAAGCAGAAGAGGCAGAGAGATGACATGAAAACAGAAGCAAAACAGAGAAAAGGAACAGAGAAAAAAAGCATAAATGGGTCACAGTGATGATTTAACTTGCGGAGAAGAAGAAACGAGCTACCATGAAAATTTTCATACCAGATAGATGCTAGGTATGCTGACAGATTCTCTCTCAGTATTTTTTTGTTTTCATCTATCTATAACGAGTTTGGTTAGGGCTTCACCTTCTTCAGCAGATGCAATTACAATGTACATATCAGTTGTTAATTTTGTCTATTGGCGTCGCCTTCTCCGGTAGAGTAGTGAACTCTCTCGCTAATGGCTTATGTGTTTCATATCACTTATCTATTTTCTCGACTCACTCTCTCTCCATGTGCTTCTTTTGGGGGTTGATATCTATTCTTCCCAGTTTCATGTGGGGTTTTGTTTTTAGAAGAAAACTTTTGAACTGTCTACTGTTTTGTTAAGTTTCAAGAAATTTCTGAAAATATAATTTCCATGTACTAAAATAGCTAGATTCTCTTCTCCAAAGAAACAAACGAGCTTTGTGTATGAAAAGTGAAGTTTTTATCTCTGCAATTATTTTGGATGAACAACTTTTCTTCTGTAGACTTCAATTTTTCTTTTTTAAATGTATTTTTGGAGATCTTAGAGCTAGTTCTTTTTCCGTGTGTTTTAAAGTGGGGAAAATGAAAATGGCTAAAATAACAATTGGGTTTCTTATAGAAATGGAAAGAGGTTGATGTCCTGTTCATTTGGGACTATGGTGTCGCATATTGTGTTTATGATGCTTACTATTGATTTGCCTACAAGCTGCATCATTGTGTTTATTCTTATTTTTGCACTAGTCCCTGTGATGAAACATTTAGTAATCTGAATATGTGCATGAAATATGTGAAATGGTGCTCCCTTTTTGCAACTTATTGCAGAGGTTGAGGAACTATGAAAAATTTTCATGCCAGGTAGATGCTAGGCATGCTGAGGGATTCTGTTTCAGTAATTTTTCTAGTTTTCGTCTGTATATCTTTTGAGAACTAGAATCAATGGGTACCCAAATAAGTAAAGGGTAGGGCTTTGCTTTCTTCTGGACCACATGCAACTGCATTGTTATCAGTTGTATGATTTTCTCTACCTACTTGCCCCTTCTACCTGCTTGCCCCTCGCAAATGAAGTACTAAACTTTCTTGCTACTTCCTTCTGTTTCAAATTACTTGTCTAATTTTCTCTAGTTACTTTTCACCCCATGTGTATTTATATGGGGTTTACTATCTACATTTCCTGACTTCATCTGGGTTTTTGTTTTTAGAAGAGAATTTTTAAATTATCCAGTGTTTTGCTTTTAAGTTTCAAGAAATTTCTAATAAAATAATTTGCAATTGAGTAAAAAATGTCTCTAACTATTTTGGATGCAGGTTTTCTCCTTCAGAATGCAGCTTTTTAAAGATGTTTTTGGATATTTGAGAGTTAGTTCTTTTTCTGTGTATTTTAAAGTAGGGATAATGTTGGTTAAATTAAAATTTGGGTTGCTTATAGAAATGAAAATCTGTTGATTTCATGTTCATTCGGAACTATGGCTTAGGCACGCATTGCGTTTTTGATTATTACTATTAGTTGTCCTTTAAGCTGCATCATTGTTTTTATTCTAATCTCTATGTTTCTTGTCCCTATGATGAAACATTTAGTAATCTGAAAGTTATGCATGAAATATGTGAAAATGGTGCTCCCTTTCTGCAACTTATTGCAGAGGGTTGAGGAACCATGAAAAATTTTCATGCCAGGTAGATGCTAGGCATGCTGAGGGATTCTGTTTCAGGATTTTTGATTTGATCAATATATTTTTGATCGTTTATTCTTGGTGTTGTGGTTTGAATACTTGTATACATGATTATTGATTAGTGTTAGACATCTTTCTTGGTCTTTTGCATTTTTGATTTGATCTATATATTTCTTGATCATTTATTCTTGGTAGTGTGGTTGTAATACTTAATATGATTATTGATTAGTGTAATATGTAAGACATCTCTCTTGATCTTTTGCATTTTTGATTTTATTGAAGTTCAAGATTGCCCTTACCAAACTTGACCTAATTAAGTTTAAGATTGCCTTTTTTTGAGTAGGAAAAAGAAAAACTATATAGACTATACTATGTAGTTTTGAGACTATGCTTTAGACTATATGGTATATAGTTTTGAAATTATGCTTTATGGTTGGCTGAAAATTGAAATGTATTTGTGTATATTTTCATGGAATGAAGAAATACTTAAAAGCAAGAAATACAACTTGTTAATTTGAAACATGAAAATATATGCAATGTATATATGCTTAACAATTCTACATAAAGACATTCAAAGAATAATTAGTGATATGTTATTGAACTTATTTTACAATTAAATTTAAATAATAATTAGTGATATATGATATTGAATTTATTTTATAATTAATGTAGAAATTTAAAATTTAAAAGAAAAGAAAATTAAAAATTAAATGCGGAAGGGGAAATAATAGAGTTAGAATTTTTATTTTTTAAATAATAATTTTATTAATTTATAAATAATTCTTTATTAAAGGGGTTGAATATAAATGTCTTGTAAAAACAATTTGCGGTATTGTGAAATATCGCTGGCCAGTCCATTTTTAAGATTACATTCAAGTTTTCCGTGTAAATCTTCATTAAGTACATTCTTAATTTTTTATGTGCTACATCTATGATACAAATTCTGTATATAACCTCCCATAATAGTGTTCTACTCCTAGAAGTAGACATAAACAATACAGAATCAAATTTTTCAGCTAATACATTCAAGTTGGGTATAAAAACATGTGAGATAAATGAATGTGAGACGTCAGTATCAATCAAAATATGTGTAAGATAAGTACAAATAGTGTACGTATCCTATATCATGTATAAATTGATTTTTACATCTTGTTGAGTGAGGTTGTAAGTTTTACCATAAATAAGAGGTCTGGTATGGTTCTAATTCTTCGGACATTTTTCGTGTAGTGCTGGACACTCCTACATATACTGCAAGTATTGTTGAGGTGATAGCAGAGTCGGTCTCCATGATCCTTGTCATAGTGCTGGTAAGTCCTACCGCGTCCTATTACCGGAATCTGAATAGGAGCATGAGTAACTGGTCTAGATCTCTTGTTTTGCTGAATAGGTGCAGTGGGTGTTGGTCTACGG